CCCCCACCCCCAAAAAAAAAAAAAAAAAAAAAAAAAAAAAAACCCACACCTGAGCCCTTCCGTAGAGTACTAAAGAAGGGATTGGACCACATACTAAAACCTGAAATTAAGATCTCAATTCTCAAGCACCACAAATGAGTATTAAATAATTTGCTATGCTATTATAAAATCTCTGGTTAGTAGTTGGATAAAATAGATTAAAAACCAGCAGGGATGTAAAAGCAACTCCCCAAAACTGACAAGTCTTACACCTAAAAGGAGACATCTAGGAAAACTAAATAAACAAACAGCCACATGGAAGTCGTAGAGAGGTATCCACAAACATATCCTCTTACCTTAAGACTTTTAGGCACTTCATTTGTCGGTTGTCCGTGATGCAAGTAGTAGTGGGTTACATCATACATAACGTAGCCCAATAGACCGCCTCCAAACAAAGCAGGAGCAGTAGAGGGAGTCGCCAGGAATTTGATCAAGTTCCAGAACTGCAATTACAAAGCACTGTATCACAAGCTGTGGGAAAGGTAGATAGTCATAGCTCTTCAGCATATTAACACAATTCAGCATTTAGTATACTTGTGATCATTATCACTTACAAGAAGCAAATTATACCGTAGTAGTTTTCAACTTGCTACATTTATATATAAACTACCAACTTTGACTAGCTGTTGAAGTAGGCTGGCATTATATTCCCTAAGTCACGTTGGCCTTGTTGAATTTTTTTCAAAATCAAACTAGATTTTGTCCAATGGTTTTCCGTGCGGATTCATGTAATATTTGATGTATAAGCTCTAAAATTCTAGTTACTTCGAACATTTTTTTCACTTAAAAGCAGATTAAGATGCCTTTGCCAAGGCGTGGTTTGACCTCTGAAAACAGAATGAAGCAACAATCAATGAATGGAGGCAGTATTATCTTTTCATTTCGCTAATGGCGCTTTTAAGCATTAGAAATTGGGATCTTTACATTTGTGTGAAAATATTTAAGGAAAAAAACAGGGTTCTCAGTTAATATAAAATGAGGCTGTGATATGAAAATCCAACATACAGGTATGCAAAGAACAGCCGTTGCAGCAGGTGGAAAAACAAGCCTTAGACCATCCATGGGATGCTTATGATGACAGCCATGAAGAAGATAATGAGCTGTGTTTCCCCTGTAACAACACACAGGTTTAAGAACATAGGAATAAAGAACCAGAAGCAGCGGGAAACGTCAGGCAGAAGTGCAGAAATGATACATTCCCATTTCAGGTTACGCAAAAAGAACAGAGAGAGCACTGACCAATAGCTCGTTGTATTAATGTGGAAAAGAAAACGATGAAGAGTGTATTCCATCAGTGTCCAGATGAAAATGCCCAACGCCACCATCAATGCCACCTCCGGGACAGTATGACCCATATGGATAGACGTGAAGATACTGTAGCATACAACTGGAAGCCATATGGTTGGAATTGCCCACCAAACTGTGCGAGTCAGAAACTGCTCCACAAATAAAAGTTATCAATACCTTCTGTATATAGCGAGATGATGTAAAAATGAGTTATCTCACGTGGCGTGGAAAATTTGTATGGGATGCATTCTAGCAAGTTTTATAGCATACTTGTCTTACATAAACCGTATGACAAATGAAAATTCAAGCTAATGAAGAAAATGAATTCTAACGGTAACATTACCTCCCAAAAATCACTTTCAAAAAATCGCGGACCTTCCTTGCTGACAATGGGCTGGTGAATCCACTCTTGGTAAGCTTCTCCAAGGTGGCCAACCTGAGAGCACATTTCAGAAGTCAAAACATATAAGAATTTCTTTTTTGATGAAGAACATATAAGAAAAATATTAACGGAATAAGTATTTTGAGGACAGCTTATGTACTACTAATTTCAGCTGGAGATAGAGGGGTTTGGTCTAAGGAACATGTTAGACATGGCAGAGAAGACATCGCAAAAACTACTAAACAAAAACAAAAAGAAGAAGACGAAGAGGAGCTTGCAACATTAAAACCATAAATAGTTTCCAATCTGAAAGATCTTGTGAAGGAAATATATCACCACATTTTATTCCTTTCTGCCTTTTTTTGTCATTCCTTCTATTTTTCTAAACAAAGAAATGCAGAGCTTAAGAATGCGATAGAGTGAAAAAACGAAATGATAAGGCAAGCGTATCTACCCTTGATAGGAGGGTGTGGACGTCGAGAATTAGAATACTAGGTTAGTAGGTAGTGGAGCATCTTTCTTTTACATGTAGTACTAGTATTATTCTCGTATTTTCTTATTCTTAGATTTCAATTACTATATGTCTCTTTTGTTGTAGTTTTCTTATTATCTTGGTATTGTTACTGCTTCTTTTCCATGGCTTCTCCACTACCGTATTTCTTTTCAACACTGCTATGACTATGCTTTCCTTGAGCCGAGGGTCTATCAGAAATAATCACTCTACCTTCATAAGGTAGGGGTAAGATTTGCGTACACACTACCCTCCCCAGACACCACTTGTGGGATTACACTGGGTTTGTTGTTGTTGTTGATAAGGCAAGCATCTCTGCTAATTCATACTGGAATAATCTTAATTACTTAAAAGGAAAACCCTTATATGATTGGCAGCAAAGAGGATCAAGGGACAGGAACGGTAAGATAAACCTTAAAGAGATGTGTGCAGATCTTTAAAAAAAAGATACATCCCTTGGATTTTGTTAGCTCCCTGATCTTATGATAGGAATCTCTTATGTAATGGAGCTAACATTCTCTTTTGTACCTACTGCATCTTCTTGATGCCATCAACAACATTACTAACTTTATCAAAAATAAGAATAAAAATAACAGATACATCCTCCATCCCGAAAGAAATAACAAAGTATAAAGTACGAGAATCAAATGTTCTACTTTCGGCAGACATTTGGACATTGCTTCCTCAATTTTATAAATTATTTCGAACCTACACAGAATACTCCCTCCATCACATTTTAAGTGAATGTGCTTGCTTGACTGGACAAAGAGTTTAGGATGTGAATGCCACCTATTGTATTATTTCAATCAGAGTGAAAGAAAATAGTAAAGTAGTGACAAATGAGTTCATAGAGATAACATCATATCAAAGTTGCAGAGCTAAATCGTTAATGAGTTTGAATTTTTTTACAATTGTAAGAAAAAAAGTATAGGATAATACTATTAGTAGAACGGCATCAAACATTTTTGAAATTTCCCAAAATGGGAAGTGTCATATAACTTTGAGTGAAGGGAGTACTATGAATTACAATTTTTTACAATTAAAAATGTTTGAAGAAAATGTAGTAAAAGAACCATCAACTTCCCAAATGATAACAGTAACATATACAATAGGGCAGAAGAAAAAATGTAAAGGTGTACAGTTTTACCTGGAATACAAGTGCTTTATTTAAATCTACATTGAAGCCTTGTGCAACCATTGTGGGATTCGGCAGCTAATTGATAGATAAAGCAAAGAAAACAGAAAGTAGTCAGAAGGTTGCAAGGATATGGTTCTTCATGAAAAGTTCAAGAGCAACTGCTGAGATGAGAACAACTCCAATAAAGAAAGTAGAAGACAAACCATATAGCCATCCGCAAGGTGCTACTTGACGACTTTTTTTCCTTCTTATCAGTACAGTATTACATTTTTTACTTCCAGTCCATCTTGGCACATATAGTTGATAGCTAAGTTGCTCGGACTCTTCACTTTCAGTGCCGCACCCGTGTCGACACGACGTGGGTGTGGGTATGGGTGTGGGATCCGTGTCGGATCTAGTCAACCGATTTTAGGTACTTTGACCAAAATCAACGGAGAAATTTGGGACAGATACAATGATTTTTGAAAATAAATCAAAAGCTAGGGTGATATGGAAAAAAATGTAATACCCTGTATATATAAATTTCTATGTCAGTCCTTTTCCTTTTTATCTCCTAAAATTCTACTCTTGTTCAATATTTTCTCCTTCTCGGAATACCTTGTAAGTTTTCCACATAATGTCTCATAATTTAGTCATATTTTTATAACTCTATTTTTAAATAATTGAATTATTTTTAGCTGAATCCCCGCATCCGTATCCGTACCTGGATCCGTACCCCCGAATCTTTAAATTTAGATCATGAAGGATCTGACCTCTAGATCCGCACCCGTATCGGACACCCGCACCCGAGTCCGAGCAACTTAGGTTGATAGTGAACCATTCTATTCCTTTGGGCATTTAAGTTAAACTAATTAAGTAACTCAAAGGATTGAGTCCGACCAATATTTCATGTCATATTTCGGGGTGCTCGCGAGTTTGGGAGGAGAACTATTAACTCCAACAAAAAAAATAGCTTGGCCTATTCCATTTGCAACTTGTCTTCAAGGGACATTATGGCAAATTGTGCAAGCATGCATATCTTTTTTTTATGAGACAAGTTTATTTGATCAAGCAAACATCGCGTATATATGATGTCAAATGTTATTGTAAGAATTAAGAAAAAGAACTGATAAGCCTCATATGATGCAGCTACCTTTTGAGAAGTTAAAAAGCGGATTTTTTCCCTTCAATTTATCAGGAAAAAGAAACATCCAAACATTTATAGAGGGTGTTTGGCTAAGCTTATAAGCTGGTCAAACTGGCTTATATTCTTATAAGCACCTTTCGGCTTATCTACGTGTCTGGTAAATACCCAAAGTGCTTATAAGTCAAGTGCTTATAAGCTAAAATCAGTCATAAGTCATAAGTTGGTCATCCTCAACTAATGGCTTTTCAGCTTATAAGCACTTTTAGCTTGACCAAGGTTTTTACTAGTTTATCCTTAATAATATTTTTTAATTCACAAAATATTTTTCCTACAATAAATTTTCTAACTTTCTCTTCATTTCATATTTGTTTTTCATCATTTTCTTTACAAAGATAATTTTTAATTCATAATCTTTTGTAAAGTTTTGAGGGTATTTTAGTTATTTTAACAAAAGAATAGCTTATAAGCACTTTTCTACCAAACACATCAACAACTTATTATCAGTTTCAGCACGTCTATCCAAACACATAAATGCTTATTTGAAAAATTAATTTCAGCATTTAGAAATATTTTTTTAGCACTTCAAGCTTATCAACTATTTACAATCAGCTAATCCAAACGGGCTCATAATTTTCAACAAAAATCTGAACTTTACTCCATGAAAGCACTTTTACCCTCAACTTTGCACAAAATCATTAATCTATCCATCTATTTACTTTTCAGAAACCACTGACCTTTGCTCCATAGCACCTTTCACCTTAAATTACTAGCAGCAAGACAAATTTACACATTATGAAACAAAAATCTACCAAGCTACCTCATTTTACTGAGAGTGCATCTGATCTAACTAAAGAAAACCAAACAAAAATCCACAATTTACATTTAAAGAATCAGCTTTTTCACAAACTGTCAACCAAATCCACAATGCACATTCACCCACCATTTAATTCACAAACAAAAAAGAGAAAATCTCAAAACCCCACATACTCTAACAAAAGAGATCTATTTCATAAATAACAAAGAAAAGGCTTACAGAGAACAATGCAGACCTAGCTTGTGTCAGCAGAGATTTTCTATTGAGAGGATCCCAGTGGTTCAGCAAAAAAGGTTTCCCTTTCTCTCTCTCCCTAAGCAGACCACAAAACCTACAAGTGAAGTACCAGTAATACACTGCTGGCATATGATGTGATATATTTATGAGTTCTTTACTTTACCTTTACCGGTTTTTAATAAATTTTTCATCTCTTTTTGTCAACTATTTGGTTAGTGGAAGATCTTCGCCGCAAGAATAGTTATCACTAAACAGTTTATTTGGGGGGAAGGACGGGAATCTAAGCAGTTTCTCTCCAGCCTATCCGAACTAAATTATCACGTCTCAATACTAATTTATACCATACAAGAGATGTGATAAAATAATACATATTTAATGGAATAAGATCGATATTTTAAATTAAGTCTGGGATTAAATTTATATTTTATTTAGTTTGAGGTATAAATTTATACCGTCAACCAAATAAGGTATTGTCACACTTCTCTTTTTCCGCAACCCTTATTACAAGGTTGAGTTTGAAGAGTTTTTTCAATTAAAGTGACGTTTTGAAAAGTGATTACTTATTATTTAGAGCCGCCACTTGGAATTGAGTTTTGGTGTTCCAAATCACCTTTTATTTCAATCCCTTATCAAACGGAAGGTTTGACTCCTTATTTATGGTCTACGTAAACAGAAGCCTGAGGAAGGAAATCTGTTGACCGAGGGGAAGGTGTGAGCTAGCACGGTCGCTTTTATTGACTTATGTCCGGCTTAAATCAATTCTTGGCTATTCTTGTATTTTATTGATTATGGTTTGCCTATTACCACTTAACTAATTATTAAAGTTTATTAATTGTTTGGACCCAGATGCGATACGCACACAAGGTATTTCTTTGAAGTTAGATGTTAAACAAAGGTACGAAATGTACACATGGTTAAAACATAATTATTTTAAATTTAATGGTATCAAGACACGGGAATACGCACATGATCTTTTTATCACTTAAGAATATCAATCCAAGGTTTGGGTATAAACACATGAGCTAATATTTAGAAAAACATCTAAAGCTTTTCTATTGTATTCAGAGTATTTTTCTAAAGTAATTTTAGATTATTGTAAACTCATGAAGTATGGAATCTATTGCGGAGGAAGTGTAAAATTTGACTACTATTAACAAGTTACTAAATATAACACATCATTCTATCTCAAAAATTAAAATTCGTTCCCACTATAGCTAAAAGAACTAACCAACAATATTAAGGAAACAAACTAATACACTAACCTAACAGTTGTGTCAACCACCTAACTTAACTCAGAAGATTAACATGATCTTATGCGAAATATTTAAGCAGTTAACATCAAATAAAAACAAGCTTTTAATGTGGTTTTCAACAATATTATTACATCCAATAAACTTCACCGCAAAGAATGCAAAAAACTTAAATCCATCAGAATTCTTAGTTCATTAACTTAACAAATTCGGTCTAATTCTTTATAAAAACCTCTATGCCTTCTTTAATAAAAATTAATGCTAATCTCATAAATCTAACTACGACTAACATTACTTAAAAGTAAACACATATAGAGAGGCAAGAAATAAAGCTAACACAGTAAAGACACTCAAACATTCAACCAAAGGTGATAATACGTTAAAGCTTCCAAATCATCCGAAACATGCATACAAGGCAACGAGAGCAAGGATGAATATTTAAAAGCTGAAAATTCCTTTAAACGATGTCGTAGCTACGAACAAGAATCTCGACTAGAAACCTCATCGGAGATCACTTGAATATTTTTCATGCCAAATATTTGAAGTGCTTAGACGTGTATATGATCTATTTCTTTTTATAAATATGATGTGCTTTATGTAGTTTTTTTTCGAATTTTCCCCTCCAAAATAATGTAAAGAAGAGTGAAAACAATTCACTCTTTTCGTCTGTCAAGTTCTCAATTAAGTAGTGATCAGAAACTAATACCTTGTGAAGTAGGGGAGATCGTGTGTATGATCATGGGATTGAGGGGATAGGGGGGTTGGGACGTGAGAAGCGGGATGTGATGAGTTTTGAGAGAGAGGGACGTGAAAGGTGGGGTGAGGTAGTTAGGCTAGAAAATGGAGGTTATGGGATTAGAAAATTAAACATGAGATTTTGATCTCTTTGACGTTAAAGTTCCTTTAAATTATTTTTTTTGAAAGATAAATTAAATTATAAAGATAAGAAGATTAACCAACATTTCTTATAAATAGAAAAACTAAATATTTACATGTACTTTAAATGATACTAAGAAAGATTCTATAGCTTACTTATCAAAAAACAAATTAATTAAAAGAAACTAAATATTTTTTTGTAAATTTTCTTTTCTCTTGTAAATAGAAATAAAACTTATACTCAAAAAATGTGAATATTTTTGTCATTTTTTTTTATTAATTTTTTTCTTTCTCCAAATAAGATCTATTAAGAGTAAGATAAAAATTTAAAATATCAAGATTAGACCTAAAAGAAATATTTATACTAAAATAGTATAAAATTTGGGTGTAGTAAAAAATTAGTTGTTCACAGCATGCCCCTCTTTGCTTGGAATCATGAATAGTTTTCAGGCAAAGAAAATAAATAGGGTGACTAATTTTTGACCTCACTATTATTTAAAAAGCAAAATAAGATAAAAGAAGCAGATGCGATCGAGCCTTGGTTTTAGGCAACCTACATATTCCGGGTTATAAGGGAACCCGGTCGCGTGTAGTTCAAGTGGAAAAAGAGTGATGGAGTATGCTTCGATGGAAAGTCGAGTGAAGTTCCGTCGAAATTCCGGTCCGCAGTTCCTACTGTTACATCAAAAGAAAAAGGAAATTACATACTCTTGAAATCTAAGAGTTACAAAATTCCTATCTAAATGTCATATGGAGTTTTGTCTTGATTCTTGACTTGCTTCCCCCATTGACTTTAGACTGAAACTTGATGTTCTCGATGCAACAGACTAGGAAATATTCTCACAGGTCTGTTTCTTGATCAGATGATGAGAAGATGGATCTTGAAATCCCATGTCTCTGCATGCATTATGTCAAAGCTGGTTCGGCTGGTATTGAAATCAAATGTTTCACTTTATCTGACGAGAGCTGGAATCTTATTTTTGCACATTCAATCCGTACTTTACAGAAAAACGTGCAAGCCATTAGAAACAAACAAAACGAACAAAAATTTTCTGCCCCAGTTTGCACTAGAAAATTTTGTGAGTTATTGAAAATACAATAAACTATCTTTCTATTGCAAAATAAAGAATTGAAAAAGAAATGTGATTTTTTTTATATATATTTTATAATAGGGGATGTCGTACCCTATGTTAACAAGAAGGAAGGCAACAAGGGTATGTAGTATCATGTGTTGACAATAAGGTGAGGCTCTTGGCACTCTGGGATGCTATTAGGGAATGTCGTATCCTATGTTTGCAACAAGAAATGCAACCAGGGGATGTAGTACCCTATGGTGGCAATAAGGTGAGGCCCTTGGCACTCTGTATAATCAATCATGTACAATTTATTAAAACTGAATGATAAACAAATGAGCGCAATTAAAATATTAGAATAAAAAATCTTATCAATATCAATCAAATAAAAGTTAATTGGTGTAGTAATATAAAAAATTAAAAATAAAGGTAAATTTTATAATAAATTCCTAAAACATTACATATTTATACCTTAGATGTTCTTTAAATTACAATTTTAAATTCGTTAATAAAAATAAAAATTCAAAGATATATATACACATACATAATAAAGAATATAAAAGAAAAAGTAAAACTTATAAATATGCTTAATATTAAAGTAACAATAAAAAAGAGTAATGGTAGATTTTGTTACAAATTCATAAAAATAAAATTCCGGTTAAATTTTATTGAGCTTTAATTATAAAATTTTATAACAAGATATTTAAACTGATAAAATACTTAGCTAAAGATAAAATATATCTTATATAATATAATAAAAAAATTATATGCATAGAGGAGAAATAAAAAATATCAAGGGTAAAATAGACAATGCATATGATAGGATGAGTATAATGTCTATTGTTTAATATTGGGGGATCAAAATGATTTTACATAGTTTGGTCGATATTCTTAAATAAATAATATAAATTTATATGTGCTTATATGGTTTTAAGATGAATTTAATTGAATTTTTGGAACAGCATGACTGCTAAGAATTCATGCAGCCAACCTTAAAATATTTAAATTGAGATGTTATGGTTTATTTATACTCATTTTACTAAATTTATGAACAAACTTAGATCAAACTTAGTCAGTTTCTACGGATTTTGATTTTTTGTACGTTGTCTTTTGAGTATTCTCTTATGAAACAATAATTTGAGTATGCTCTTATCAAAAAATATTTTGAGTACACTCTTATCAAAAAATTGCTTAAGTATTCTCTCATAAAAAAAAAATAGCTTAAGTACTATCTCATCAAAAAATAGCATGAGTATTCTCTTAACAAAAATAGTTTGAGTATTTCCTTAACAAAAACTAGTTTTGAGTATGGCCTTATCAAAAAGTACTTTGAGTATTCTAGTTTGGCTTTGATTTCAAAATGACACCATATTTGGTTTGTGAAATTTAACTTTGGAAGAGAAGCATAGGAACATTTGTACAGCACCTTTGCCGGTTGTTCTTAGGTCCGGTTAGATCAATCTGAAGCTCAGGCTTGTTCTCTCTTCAATTATCTTTATTTTATTCCTTTTGTACTGTGTTATTTTATTTTATTTTATTACATCAATTTAATCCACAACCACGTAACAAATTCAACTGTACATGTGGTTGACACACGTCTGCCAGTTCGAATTATGGTGTGAATTAAGTCTGGTATTTGGGTAGAGGCCGGAGGGAGGGTAGAGGGACGGACATATTATTCACCAAATTTCCAAGTCGAAAACAAGGGATTTCCCGGCTATCCTAAAAAAAAGATCATCATCCTTATTTAGGAGTTATAGCGCCTTGCTATGGATTGATGAGAAATTGAGAATATGGCCTCACATACTTTCTTAAGAGTTCTCTCATTTTGAGACTGTTGTAGTTGTTGAGGTTTTTTGTTTTTAAGATGAAATAGTCTTAAAATGAGGGTGAATGGGAAATGGAG